AAATTTTAAAATAAATACTTTTCTAGTTTAACTTTAATGTAATCAGAAATCAAAAAGAGACTGGCACATGATATGTTGGCTTGTATACCACTGGTACTGCAATCTATCATGTATAACTAGAATGGACCCAGCTTTATGGCAATCACTTACGGATCTTCAACTCAAAACACTAAGTTATATGATATGTACAGAAAGAAATTACAAAGAGACTGATGTAGGGGGGGGGGGAGTTAAGAGGAGTCCCATTAAGGCACTAGTTCATTTTCACAATAATTTACCTACAAAATGGCATTTCTCTTGTGTTGAAATAACCCAAAGCAAACCACAAGTTAGTCTTCACCTATGTGATATTGCCATATGTTACAATTTACAATTTATTTCAATTTTTCCTGGAATGACTCAATGATGAATTGTTCAAACTATACACCCACTCTTTCTATAATTCTCACTAATGGTAGAAAAATACTGTTCTAAAACAACATTATTTGTAGATGGACCAAAATAGACAATGTCCTCAACATTTTCAACATCTTCTTTTTGTTGGTTTAAATATGCATGGATCGTTGCCAAATTTCCATTTTCAGTACCCTTGTCCACTCTAAGATACTTGCTCACAACTGCTCCAGAAAAGAAAAGTTTATATTTGTTACACTGCCAAATTATTTCAAAGCAATACTATATAAATGTATTATTTTAAGAAATTAATAAAAAAACTTAAGTTATTGTCTCAATGGCTAAAATTCATGGTTTAATGTCACCAATAATTTCACATATTAAGTCACCAGCAACATATTTTACAAAAATACACAATTTTTTGAATTGTCATGTAAAAGCCTGAATTCAGCAAGAGATAGTATTGGATGGAAGAAAAGGAGGAATTCATGTTGAATTCATTCTTTCTATATCAGTTGGGTACAGTACCTTTAGAGTTGTTAATGTGCTCCCAGTACCATCTGCCAATTAACTTTGGATCAGAGTTTGATGTCCAAATTTTCAAAAACAGAATAAACCCACTAAAAACATCTTGCAGCCCATAAACGGTAAGTGGAAAAGTATCTCTTGAAAAATCCATAAGTTTATCGTGCCCATCACCCGAGTGGGTATGATTTGGCCCCTTAAAGTTAAACAAATATTCATAAGTGCCTGACTTCTATTCATTGTTCATTAACTGTGGAAATGAGCAATATGTTTAAAACAATTAGATGATTCATGATTTCTTGAATTTCAGCATCCAGGTGATCCAAGCATAAAAATAGGAAATTATTTATTACTGTACATAAACTGTTGAAAAGGAAAAAAGTAAATATACCATGGAAGTAAATGTGCCTGTTGGTCCTCGGTTTCTTTTCCTCCGCCCTACATTTCCCCGACACTCTAGTCCCTCAGGATCGACTAAAGTCATCACATCATATACTAGATCTCTTAGAACAGCCATTTGGTGCTGTTCCCTCACTTTCTTGTGCATGGCCCTATAGCCAAGTAGTCGACCAGGACCTTCTATCTCCTCCCGAACAGCTGCTTGTACATCTTCTAATTATATATCATACTTGATATATTTGATGCTGAAATGGCTAAGCCTTCGATCTAGGCTCCCAATGCTCCAGGCATATTGTGGATAGTCCCTTTTAACGAAATCCAAAACCTCTGACCTACAAAGGTTTTGTAACACATATTGCTGCAAGTCGTTTTTTAATTGTATGCTGTCTTCCCAATTTTTATTACGAATCCGTTCAGCCATAATTGCTGATTTTAAGAAAAAATATATGTATTAATTGTGGGAACCACTGAGTCTTTTCATAAAATACACAACAATAGTAACTCAGAATAAAGTAAGCATTTTTGATTAAACGTTTCGACTTTATTTAGTCATCATCAGGAATGATTAATTTACATGTGCATGCGTTGTATATACTATATATAATTTAATATTGTTCAAGAGAAAACCGATAGTTCTTTTGATGCCTTTGTGCCATGATTAAGCTTCGGTTTTTGTCGACGGATGGCGAGTGCTTCTTTGAACAGTAGATTTGACCAATGCTTAGCCCTATCTATGATGTGACAGTTGTTCAATAGGAAGAGTGACAAATTAAATAGTTCAGTGCTGGGTTCGTCTATGTTAAGTTGTAATAGATTTGTCAGGTGGTTGAATTGTTCACAAGTGTTGATGTGTTTATAAATTTCTGATCGTTTGTCTGTTGTTGCATGTTCGTTGAGTCTTGTATAGAGGCATCTGTCTGTCTTTCCTATGTATGCTTTGGAGCACCCTGGGCATGAAAATTTGTAAACAACCGAACTTTGAAACTCTTTCGGTGTTTTATCTTTGCATGAAACAAAGCAGCCTGTTGTTGTGGTGTCCCAGTACACGATACTGTACTGATTGACAATCATAATGCATATACGGTTGTTTTAGTAAACAAGAAAATTTGAGTTTAAATTTGTGCATGAGATCAGTTCCACGTTGTAATGTTAAGTGCTTGGGTTACCTGTGTAAATAGTTAGGTATAAATAGGACTGTAGATTTGATAATAGAGGTTGGCCATCTTGGTTTTGAACTTATGCAGTAGTAAATTATTACATGGTGTCAGGTGTAAAAAAAACAATAAATATGGATAAGTTAGATCCTCCAAAGTCGTTAATATTAACAGGAAACTTAGCAGAAAACTGGAGAAGGTTCAAACAGCAGTTTGAAATCTATCAAATCGCCTCTGGTTTAGATAAAAAGGACGGAAAAGTGCAAGCCATGGCGTTATTACACGTGGTTGGTTTGGAGGCATTAGAAGTGTATAACACATTCCAGTGGGATGAAGAGGGAGATAATATCAAGGTGGATAAAATAATGGAGAAGTTCGAAAGGTATTGTAACCCAAGAAAGAATTTAACATTTGAAAGACACTCTTTTTTTTCAAGAAATCAACAGGAAGGTGAGACAATAGATGCTTATGTTACTGAATTAAGAAATAAAGCTTATAGATGCGAATTTTCTGACCTTAAAGATGGATTAATACGTGATAGAATTGTATGTGGGATAACTAATGACTCGGTGAGAGCACGGTTGCTTAGGGAATCAGATTTAAGCCTGGAGAAATGCGTAGATATTTGCAGAGCAGCTGAAATAAGTGCCACCCAGCTAAGGGAGCTCAATGATGAAAAGACAGTACATGCAGTCCATGTTGAAAAGAAGGTGGGCCAAAATGATATGAGGAAAGGGGGAAGAGAAGAGAGAAGGGATAGTACCGGTAGTAATTCATGTAATTTTTGTGGCTATCGACACAGAAGAGGTCGGTGTCCAGCATATGGGAAAACTTGCAATCAGTGCAAGAAATTACACCACTTTGCCAATGTGTGTAAAGCAGAAGAGGTTAACATGATTGATAACACTGATGAGGAACATGACCAACATTTCTTTATTGGAACAGTAAAATCCAATGAAGCTTGGAATGTGAATTTAAAAGTAAATGGGCATGTTGCTTCATTCAAAATTGATACGGGTGCTCAATGTAATGTGGTACCTGAGTTTATGCAGAAAAGCTGGAGTAAAGTACAATCACAAAACTAGAGCAAAATTGATTTCATATTCAGGGCATGAAATGAAAGCAGTGGGTAAGGCCACAATTGCAATTGAGTTATTTATTTACTCGATGTTCAGGTTGTAAGTTCAGATGTCATTCCAGTGTTAGGATTACCAAGTTGTACGGAGATGAACTTAATTAAGAGGGTCCATAAGATTGACTCAACTACTGCTGAAAATGTGGAAGAGATAGTGAAAGGGTATGGAAATTTATTTAAGGGAATTGGTACTCTTCCAGGAGAATATAAAATTAAAATTGAAGACTCTGCTAGTCCAACTATTCATCCACCAAGACGAATTCCGTATGTGCTAAAGCATAAAGTAAAGGAGGAATTAAAACGAATGGAAACGATGGGTGTCATAACTAAAGTTGAGCAACCCACAAAATGGGTTAATCCAATTGTTGTGGTTATAAAGAAACCAAATGGTGATGTACGGATTTGCCTTGATCCAGGAGATATGAAAAAGGGGATTCTTAGAGAACATTATGCATTAAAAACCGTAGAAGAAGTTGCAGCCAGTCTTGGCGATGCAAAAGTATTTTCAACTCTAGATGCCACATCGGGATTTTATCAAATAAAGCTTGCAGAAGGAAAGCACATGGTTGACAACTTTTAATACACCTTTTGGAAGGTATAAAATTGAAAGATTGCCATTTGGAATTGTATCTGCACCGGAAGTTTTCCAAAGGAATTTGGCTCAGACATTTGAAAATGTTGAAGGATGTGAAGTGATTGTGGACGATTTGTTGGTGTGGGGTAGGGATGAGAAAGAACATAATCAAAGGTTGAAGAAAGTAGTGGAGAGAGCAGCCGAAGTAGATTTGAGGTTTAATAAGGAGAAGTGTAAATTTAATAAGAAGAAAGTAAAGTATGTTGGACATACATTTGGTAGTGATGGCTTGAGACCAAATCCAGATCGAATCCATGCTATCCTTGACATGCCAGTTCCCCAAGATCGGGACAGTTTAAGAAGGTTTATGGGAATGGTTAATTATTTGAATAAATTTATTCCAAACTAAGCAGATGTAAGCAAACCACTAAGAGAGTTGCTAGAGAAATCCGTCAAATGGCATTGGATGGAGAAACAACAAGAAGCATATGATATTCTGATTTCATTGATTCCTCAACCACCCGTATTAAAATATTTTGATCGTAAGGCGGACATTACAGTTTCAGTGGATGCATCTTCAGAAGGTTTGGGGGCTTGTCTGTTGCAAGGAAATCAACCTGTGGCTTATGCATCTCGATCGTTAAACCAGGCTGAACATAATTATGCGCAAATAGAAAAGGAGATGCTTGCCATAGTGTATGGTACTACCAAATTCCATCAATATATTTATGGAAAAACTGTAACAGTAGAGACTGATCATAAACCGCTAGAAAGTTTGTTTAAGAAGCCACTTGGTAAAGCACCACAGCGTATACAGAGAATGATGCTTAAGGTACAGCAATATGATTTAAAAGTTAAATATACCCCAGGTAGTGCATTGTATATTGCTGATACTCTGAGTCGGGCTGGTCCAAATAGCAAGTTAGAGGGTACGAGTGAGAGTGATGAATTTGAAGTTCATTTGGTAGTACCAATCTCGAAAGAAAAGACAGAAGAGTTTAAGTCGGAAATGGATCGAGATATTGTTATGTCAAAGCTGAAAGAAATGGTATTGCGAGGCTGGCCAGATAAAATTTCAGAAGTAGATCAGGATGTACAAGCATATTGGAATTTCAGAGATGAATTATGCATTTGTGATGGTCTTTTAATGAAAGGAGATCGCTTGATTACACCGTCTAGTCTGCGTACAGAAATGCTAGATAAGATACATAGTAGTCATTTGGGAATGGAGAAATGTTTAAATCGAGCTAGGGATTGTTTATTTTGGCCTGGTATAACTAAACAAATTCAAAAGAAAGTTGAGAAATGTCAAACTTGTAACAGATACAGGAATAAGCAAGTGAAAGAGCCATTAATGCCACACGAAGTACCTGTTCGACCTTGGCAGATTTTAGCAGCTGACATGTTTATAGTGGGAAAAGACAATTATTTGGTTCTAGCGGATTATTATTCTAAATATTTTGAATTAAACCAGCTCTCGGACAGCACTAGTATCACAGTAGTTAAGGTTCTTAAACAACAATTTGCTAGACACAGAATTCCTGAGATTTTATATACTGATAATGGTCCTGAGTTTGCCAGCAAGGAATTTTGTGCATTTGCCAGCCAGTACCAGTTTCAACATGTCACGTCTTCACCGCGGTTTCCTCAAAGCAACGGTTTTGTTGAAAGAACTATACAAAAAGCGAAGAAGTTGTTAAAAAAAGCTTATGATGATGGCCATGATCCTCATTTGGCAATATTGGAATTGCAAAATATTCCAATCCAAGGGGTTGGTTTATCACCAATGCAACTATTGATGGGTTGTCGTGCTAACACCCTCATAACCAATAAAACAGTCATTGTTGAAGCCA